ACTGGTGGACACAACAGAACCAGCACAGTCAAGACATACAAAATGGCATTAGTTACAGCTACAGGATGGTCTGGATCAATTATTTTCTGTTTCTTTTTTTTTCAATTCTGCCTCCATCCGGCTATTTGCTAAAGAACGAACATTGTAATACTGGAGGAAACATTGTTTGAGGTAAATATGTGCTGCCTCCACACACAGTCAGGCCTTAGGTATATGCTTATCTAGAATGCAAGATCTGCAATTCCAAAATGTATCGTGATTTTGCATCCTACAGTGATTTTGTAGCCAGACCATCCGACTGGCATTAATGTACAGATGCAAATCTGAAAGGCAATATCAGACAGATTCTAAGGATCATGCAGAGAAAACAAATTTAATTGAGCTGTACTTTGAAAACTGTTCACTTTCTCCCATTACTCTCCCCTCTAAGTCTGTGAATCTCTACTATAAAGAAAACCCCATCAGCCAAAAATGCTCTATAAAAACTGCAACACTGTCACATTTAATTCTTTAAAAGGCAAATTTGCTGGAAAGACTTTGAATAAAACTGACAATGATGGGAAGTATGACAGAAGATAGAATGTTGCCTGAAACCCTAGGTTAATAAAATATAACACTAGTCTAATGGAGAAATTGTTGGTGTCTGTGGTCCTACAGTCAAATAAGATTAAAAGAAGAATATATTTATATGAGGGTTGCATAGGTTAACAGAAATTTGCCTGTAGGCTCTTCAGAATATTTTTCTATCAACAATTGTCAAAACAAAACTCTGAAATGTTTTCCTGTTTCTTGAATAATGGAATTTTTACATTTATAGCTGATACTTGGAAGAGTTAACTTTTACTTCACGAGGTTGCCATTGCCTGTTGTATCCCGCTTTACGTTAGGAGGTCTCTTTCTAAGACTGTTTGGGTTGTGTTTAAAAAAAAGACATTGACACCTTGATCTTAATAGCTAATCTTCTGCCATCACCCTGTTATCTAACTGTTTGGGGACCCTCTTCCTTTGATAATACTGCCAAAGAGCAAGTACCACCTACCTGAGTTGTTGCTGTGATGCTACACAAATGCTCATTCATTTGCAAAGGTTCAACCTCCCAGCCTATTCATGCTGATTCTTTCTCCATCTACTACCAACACATTCAACCACACTATTTTAGCTCTGTCACATTCAGGGCAAACAGGGAGTAATCGCTTAATTCCTTTATAGAAGAAATGCAGGAATTTCGGCTTATCTCCTTTTAAAAAACCTAGAGTGAAATACATGTTATTTGTATAGCAATAGTTTTAACCTGTCTTTTAAGAATTATGCCACTTGTGTTAATAAGTGTTCTTTGACACACGCTTTGTATGCCGGAACAAATTTAATTTAATAATTTAATTAATTTAATTTAATTCTTTAATTAATTTAATTTAACAGAAAACTCGCTGAAAACCAAACATGCACTCTTCTCAAAACTTTGGTCAAACCATCTAAGTCTAAGGTACTTCCATGAAGTTGATTCCCTTCCTAACAGTTCTATTCTGCACTACGGGTATAGCCCTACCATCAAGTAAAGCCAATACCTCATACAGATTTTGGAAAGCACAGGCTGCCTCAAACAATTCTCTGAAGCTCATGGCAAAGCTAGATATTTTCAGGCAAGAATGGATTTTATTTTTAAAAGGCAGATGGAAATGGAGAGTTTGGACATCAGTCCTAGTTGTAGGAACCTTTCCTGCCATGTGTCCACATTGAATTTACTGTCCAGCCTGGTAGTGTGGCCTGAAATCCAGCTGATCGTGTGATGACCTAAATCACATCTCCCACAGATATTTTGATAAAGCTTCATCTACTAAAAATCTCATTAGGGAAGGTAAGTGTTGCAGTGACCAGAAACCCACAGGTCCTGGGACAGAGCAACCGTGGGTGTATATACAGACTGGGGAACAAGAGGCTGGAAAGCAGCCCTGCAGAAAGAGATTCCAGGGGTCCAGGTCAGTGGGAAGTTGAATATGAGTCAGCAGTGCCCTGGCAGCCAGGAGGGCCAACTGTGTCCGGGGGGGGATCAGGCAAAGCATCACCACCTGGTTGAGGGAGGGGATTGTCCCACTCTGCTCTGCACTGGTGCTGCCTCACCTTGAATATTGTGGCAGTTTTGGGCACTGCAATATAAGAAAGATATTAAGCTCTTAGAGAGTGTCCAAAGAAGGGCAACGAAGATGGTGAAGGGCCTTGAGGGGAAGCCGTGTGAGGAGTGGCTGAGGTCACTTGGTCGGTTCAGCCTGGAGAAGAGGAGACTGAGGGGAGGGGGAGGGGCAGGCACTGATCTCTTCTGTCTGGTAACCAGTGACAGGACCCGAGGGAATGGCTTGAAGATGTGTCAGGAGGTGTTTAGGTTGGATATTAAAGAAAGGCTCTTCACCTAGAGGGTGGTTGGGCACTGGAACAGGCTCCCCAGGGAAGTGGTCACAGCACCAATCCTCACAGAGTTCAAGAAGTGCTTGGACAATGCTCTCAGGCACATGGAGGGATTCTTGCAGTGATCCTGTGCAGGGCCAGGAGTTGGACTCAATGATCCTTGTGGGTCCCTTCCAATTTAGGATATTCTATAATTCTATGAGATATATGCATAATGTTCTAATCTCATCAGGTAATCTTCCATATAATTGCATTATGGTAGTGCTTTAATAATTATTAAGGTAAGTCTAATGCTTTTTACCTATTTTATGTGTTGGTAGGTTTATTTAATACTTGTAAAGTGCTTTGAGATGCCCCAAAGGAAAGAACTCAAGAAAATTTCTTTATTATTCTCTTCTAGAAGTATAAAAAGGTAAGGCTATCCATGAGCCTGCAGTACAGTAGGACACACCATCAGTATGCACAGCCCACTGAGTAGAGAAGAGTTACACTGAGCTGGTTTGAGTACTGACTCACTTCTGAGAATTGAAGTGGTGCTTAGCACCTGGAGTTTATGGTCAAGAGTTAAAAAACAAAACAAAAATATATCAATATACAGCTAGTCCTTTACATTTAAAGTTTTGATCTCAAGAAAATAAAAAAGAGCTTGATCATTAGAAGGTACCTTTAGGTGGCATTGGGTTTATAGAAGTATCCTCTGATTTTAGAAGGGACCTACAGAAAGCTCAGAAATTTTGAGACAGTAAGAAAAGTTTAATCATCAGATAAGGACATGGATACCTATTTACTCTCTTTTTTCTGCAAGTCTCAACTTAGATTTTTCTAAGTATGAAATCATCTGATTGGTTAGATGTTAGCTGAGTAGAATTCCACTTTACGTATATTATTTAGTCATTGAATCACTACAAGGTGCCTTAACTGAATGAATTACATAAACCCATTGCAGTATCCTTGCTTTCCCTATTCCCATGTTATAATTACTTCATGTAGCCTTCTAAAAGCACACTAATCTCTTCAGAGCAGAAACTCATTTCTTAATGAGAACTGTAGAAATACATTGAGTGCTGCAGAAATAGCAAAATAACAGGACTTCTTTTCCCAATTAGTTGCAATATGTTGCTTAATATTAATATATTTTTAATAATATAATACATTAATAATAGTTGCATAATGTAGAAAATGCCCTATCCAACAGCAACCCAATACCTGTAAGAAATATTAGCAATTTCACCAGTTCTTTTCAGCTTGACAGTGCCAAATCTCACAGAGGCTGTCACCAAGGTTAGGAAGCTGCTTTTGCCACATAACACTGACATCCAGGTTGATGGCTGCATGATTTGTAAGCCTTTTTCTAAATAGACAAAACCAAATAAAATTGTATGCAACTAAATATGTCTGATCAACTCACTTAGTAGAGGGTTTTTTTTAAAAAAGCATCTTATACGTCCTCATCTAGTGACCAGTTTAGCCCTTTGGTGAAAGCAGCAGTATGCATCATACCTCATCTCCACAAACCCTGCTACAAACTTGCTTATCTCAGCTCTGTAACTAAGGTTCTCATTCATTTTTCTGTCTGGTCCTCCCTGGATTTTAAGTCAGGATGCATCTCTAGTCTCTCCTTTGATTGCACACCACTATCCTTCCCTTCCTGTTCTACCTTTCCAGCTTTCTCCCCCCATTAAATGTTCCAATACAACATGGGTTTTACTCATGTATTATGGTGAATAATACAGGCCCAGATGCCTCATGCAGGAACATGTGTAAATAAGTGCAAATAGAGAATTAGTGTATTTGAGACAGGTACAACTGTCTGTTTTGCCTGCAGGAGCCAGTGTCTGGACACTGTGCCATCCACTCTTCTGTGCTCTGAAAGCACTGAATGAGTTAAAATAAACAATGAATGATTTTACACAGAAACCACCAGGAATGCATATTCCTACTGGTTTGTCTTTTTGGCTACATTTGCCTTTTGAGAATACCAGTTGGGAAAATTGTTTAGAACTCAGACACAGTGAACAATAAAAGTGCTCTAAACTAAGCTGCTAGAAAAGTCAGTGTGTAGATGGAACATGTTACAGCTGCGTCAAGAAAAAGCTGTGTAGCTCAGCAAAACAGAAACTTAGGAGGGTTCCGGAGCTGAGATCTAGTAGACATTTGGAATATAAAGGAAGTTTAGTCCCTGAGTAAACAGACAACTTCAAGGATCAAGGGGCAGATTCTTCATAGCTATCCCTTTTTAGAAAGGGAAACACCGACCTTTCTGAAAAAGACTTTGCATTCTTATCTCACTGCTGTAAAAATCCTTCCAAAAACCGAAGTGAGACCTAGTAGCATTATAACTGCAACTGGAATAATTCAGAGATTCAGATTTAGAGAAACAAATACAGTAGAAAATCTTCAGCTAACTGAAGATTGACAGAAAAAAACCCCGGCAAATAAATCCAACACTGTTTCTCATGTGAATGCCATCCAGCTTGCTTTTTCTCCCTCTCTCTGTCCCCAAAGAGCAAAAACCTACTGTATAATGCCTTCTGAAGGCTGTCTGCCTGCTATCCTCTCTGCCCACCTACCGTAGGGAGCAGCTCCTCCCACCTGCACATAAAAGCCAAGTGCATGCTACCAGCAGCAGATCAGAGCACTTTCTCAGTCCTCCAGTGTTTTGAACCAGTGATCTTCTCTTCTTGGATCTTGTATACTCAAGGTAAGACTACTGCTACTTCAGGTTTCTGTTCTAACCAGCTATTGTGAGGAAATCTTAATGTGAACTTTAGCACTGCCTTGCTGGGTGGTGCTGGCTCCCCACCCCCCCTTTTTTTTCAGATGTAGTGTCATCTGACATTTAAGTTAGTAACAGTCTGTTGTTTTAGCAATGAAATAAAAGCAGATCTTGCTGGGAAACACTGTGGCTGAGAAAAGGTCTTCTCTCCTCTTCTGATTGATTTTGAAGAGATTAGTATACCCAGACCAATTATAACAATTTATTATCCCTCTTAATAGTTCCCATCTCAGTCCAGTCAAAGTTATAAAAAAAAATTCACTGCAAAGCTTCCTTAAATTCTGTTTGAGGAAAAAAAAAAAGCTTAGTGCTAATTTAAGGAAGGGATTGGTTTTTGTTGCTAATATCCAGATTGAGACAACCTTGGGACTGAAGTGCATCTTCACGTGTTTCACTGCCTTTAAAAAAAAGTGTGATGGAACTTAAGCCCACACAGAAGCACAGTAATAAGGCTGATGTAATTCATCATTTGGTACCAAATATGCTTAAAGTACATATTTTACCAACAAAGTTCTGTTTCTTGGAACATAGAGAGCTTGTGTCTCTATGAAATTTTTAGATCAGCTTGTTTATATTTTACCTACAGTTTGCCTACATAGGCATTTCTAATGCTAGAGGACAGAGACAGCTACTGAACAGTTAAAACTTTAAAAAGTAAGTGGTTTCAAAATTATATTTGCACTCCCATCCATGCATCTATCCATCCACACTGAGATGAATCTATTAGTGACCAGTACCAGTTTTTCATGTTGTGTCAGTGCACTTTTAACACACAGTCACCTGTTTAAAGAAATTCCATCATAGAAATCCTAATCCTAGAATGCCTCTCTCCAGTGCTCAGAGAGGAGGGAAAGCATGAACTACTAAAAGCAAGCAGCTAATGCTGTCTGTAAATATGCAATACATTCTGCAGTAAAGAATGGTATTTTCTTTTTAATACCCAATTCTCTTCATAAATTGACTCTTTTTTGATCTGTCCACAAATAAAAAGCCTTCTCTAAGAAAGAATTATATCCACATATAGCTGTACTCATATTAGCTGCAATATTTTAAGCTGTAGCACTGTATAACAACAGCAGAACTCTGCTCAAAGTGCCCTTTTCTTCATACTGTATCTAAGATTTTTTATGTATTTTATATCTTATCTATTCTAACTAATGGAGAAAAGAAAATACTGCCTTCAGCTACTTGCCTGGAAGATTACATAAGTATCTTTAAAAAAACCCAAACAAATGACAAAAATCCAAAACCCAAACAAATTTAACTATTCAAAAAACAAAGTGCAGTGCTTTCTGCAGCAGACTTAGAGCAAAACTATTTCTGCATCCAGGAGTTCATATAAATTGCCCACAGAAAAAAGGAATAGAGCCCAATTGTTTTCCTCATGACTGGCCACAGAATTTTATTCCTTAGTTAACATCTGATTTTTATAGCAAACCTCTCTTTCCCTTCCAAAAACACCCCTGTTGCAAAACACAATATGTGATTTTATGTGTAATGCATACAGAATTTAGGTCTACAGTCTGGCAGTTAAGCCTCATTTGTTCACACAGAATTTTACTCTATCAGATAAATCAAAAATTTTAACAGAGCAATGTTCATGGAAAAAAATGCATTTGCCACAGGAAATGTGTTTATAGCAAAATACTTTTTATTAAAGCTTGCTGTGAAATGTAATGTTTTGGCATTTGAAAAATGGATTGCAGGACATATTAAGAAAACTCTTTTCAAAGGAATGCATCTAATTTAGATCAGAATCTCCTCTGAGCAGTTTCTCTTTTAAGCTGAGTAGATAATTCAGCTTAGCATCACTCTGCAGCAGGGGATGAAGGGAAACTACACTCAGAAGATATCCAAGAGAACTGAGATGTCTAGGAATGCATTTATTGACCTCTGTGCTGATCTGAATCTCCTTTTTACAAGATTAAAGTGTAGTGATATTAAAATGAAAAATAAAAATAATTTTAAAATAATGCTACAACCACAATAATTTAAAAAAGTGAATCAGTGGGAGAACAAGGGATTCAGATTTTTTGAGTAATTATCATAAAATTTTAAATAATAAAGCCAAGGTAAAGAGACATCAATTTTTTCAGCCACAGGCCAGTTAAGCTGAGCAAGGATGCTCAGCTATTTTTCCTTGTAGTTATGCTTAGGTTTTTTAGGTGTTTATTTAGGGCACTAATATCCACTTAAGCCACCAGCTTCCAGTGCTGCCTAAAGTATTAGACTAGATACCTAGAAACACAGGATAAACATATCACTGTCTGCTATCTATGCATAGTTCTGCCACCACCACTGCTTGTGAAACATTCTTACCTTCATGAATTTATTTTCACACAACTCTCTACAGGGAGAGATTATGTTTTCCTCTGGCCATGCTGCCACTAAATATATGAACTCTTTTGCTTATGGTCACAGTGAAAATTCATGGTAGAGTGTCAAATTTAGCTCTTCTGGGTTCCAGGCCAGCACTTTAATTCCACAATTCATTTTGTATTCAGCCTTATAAAGTCCACCCCTTTGTAGCTGATCTGTCTTTGCATGACTCTTTAGGGCTGAACAGCAAGGAGAATTCCAGTGACAAATCTTGAGAGAGGTAATTTACTCCTAACACTCTCAAACTTCCTGGGAAACCCTTTACAAACCCCTTAACAGGATTTACAAATAAACCCTTCTTGGAGAGGGTAACTAAACAAATAACCAAATGCCCAGCTCTTTCTTACACTCTGTGGTTAAAGGAGACCAACCCACTCTTGGAAGGAGGTGGAAGGAGAGATCTACTGCCATGGACCAGAAATGATGGGCAACAACTAAAAGAACTCAGTCTTGGTAACTCAGTAGCAGTAAGAGCTCAAAGAGAAGCACATGATGCTTAAGCAAAATTATTCAAAGGATCTTGTAGGGGGTGTAGAATATAGTCTTCCTTTCTTTTCTACACTGGCAATCACATGCCACTTCTACAAATGTATAGGATATAATTTCACACCCACTAAAACAAACAAACAAAAACCCAACCACCAGCTTTGCCCTATCCCTGCAGTTTTTAACTCTAGAGTTAATTTATGAGGGTACAGGCTCGTAATTGCTCCCGTGGCCTTGCAAATACTTCATTTTCAAGGAAACAAACAAGCAAACAAAAAACCCCCAACACATTCTGATGCTCAGTTTCTAGAGTTACTGCCGTATGGATGGAGGCCTTGTCTCTTATTCTTTCAAATTAAAAACTACTGCTAAGCAAGCATTGCTCATAGATAAGGTAGCGAACGTGTGAGAGGTAACTGGAGGACTAGAAAAAGAACCATTAACGGCCATCTCACTACCTACTGTAGAAGATAGGACAATTTTCTTATATCCCTGAGCACAACTACATGGCAGACTTTTCTGCTCACTCATTCTATGTCTTGCTATATATCTCAGGAGAGGTAAGATTAAGTTTTATCTCTTAAGCTTAAATATATCCCTATATTTTCCCTTACTTTTTTGGCCTTCCAATTATTCTAAGCTGGGAGTTCTTTCCTTCCACAGGGATATAATTTATAGTTTTCACTATTGTCATATTTCTAAAAGAGTAATGGTTCAATGGAGGTACTGTAGTGAGAAACAAGAGAAGACAAAAACATCAGAGATTGCTTGTTCTGTCTCATAAAAAAACAACAAACAGCTGCATTTAACTGTACAAAAGTTCTCATTTTTGCCACTTACACTTCCTAGAGTTTTGTGTGTTTTTTCCTTTTTTGTGGCTTTCCCTCCAGAAAGTGAGATCTATTCTTTATGCTAACAGAATTCCCCTCCATCAAAAGTTGTGGAGCCATATATGTTCAAAAAGATAATGATAAGTCCTGGTTCTGAAGCCTTTTGTAGGTCTTGTGCAATAACTGTGGCTATTCTCTGTAGTCATCAGTAAACAATTGTGCTTGTTCTCCCTGTACTCCTGAAATGTTGGAAGTGTTTCTGTAATTGTCTTGATGTGTAATGAATTTAATGTCTCATAATTGCACTGCAGGGGATTAATACCACTGTGCAGTCTAGAGACATCTTTTGGTGATTAAAACTTCTTCATGCGAGTCCATATTTTATAGCAAAAACAAGATGAATATAAGTCTGTTGCTTCTTGAACGGCAGGTGAAACTGTTGAGGGGTGACATTAAATGGACCCTTTTCAAAAGGGAGTGAAAATCAGTGCCCTCTCTTGGTTAGAAAAAAATACATAGAGCAGCCTTATGAGAGTGTTTATCAGTTCCCTCTGCTGGCTACAAAGCCCACGGCCAGATGAGCAGCTGTGTTTGCGGAGGCGAAGGTCTGAAGTTCTATTCCCAGTGCTGTGTGCCTGCGGTAAACTGATGACTATGGTGTCTGTGCACGTATGTGGACATCATTCTTTGCAGGGTCTCATCAACAACTACACTGAGTTCAATATGAGGGCACTCAAAAATAATATGGGCTTCCTGGTAGGTAAGAAACTTTCCACTTAGGATCTGAGAAGCGTGCTAGCAGCTATGCCATTCATAATACTGCACAGCCAGAGCATCCTTCTGTTGTGCACCATACGCACACCTTGCTTTTTACACCTCCTCAAGAAAAATGTGTGTGTTCGTTACACTCAGTTTAGAGACATCTGGACAGTTATCATATATATTTTTGGCAATCCTGAATTGTAACACTTCAGAATGTCAGCTTCTGAGAACTCACAATACATTTGCAAGTAAGAAATAAATGGTACCAAAAAGAACACTCCAACCTTAAAAAAAAACCCAACAAAAAACCCTCAACAAAACAAACAACAACAACAAAAAAAGTGCCACCACAAACCAAAACAAAACAGAAAAAGAACCTAACTAGTTCTTTTTCATTCTTATAGGGAAATAACCTGGTTATACAACTACACAGACAGGTCATACAATTTACACAGTCACTTTGAAATAAAGTTGAGATTAAAAAAATATATTGCAAACTTAAGAAAGAGTTTCTATTTTAAATAAATATTTTAAATAGTACTAAAAATCACAAATTCTTGGATCAGCTATGCCAGTTCACTTCAGCTCCTAGGAATCTATCACAGCAACATATAGGATAAATAAAACCCATCTCAATAAAGGGAGAATCAGTCAAAACTAACAGTCTGACATAGTAGATATCAAAGCCATATTAAAAGCCAAAACTTTGAAACATCTGCAGCATATGTTTCCTGCTAACTAAAAAAGCAACCACTCTCTTCAGACCAACATACTGCTGCATTCTTCTCCCTGAAAGTAAGAAGTTGACAGTAGCACACTGTGGATTTGCATATGGAACTTCAAACAAAGCATTTGACCGTTTTTGCAACTGAAAATTCCAGACAGTAAAACAAGTTTCTAACAAAACCCACTTATGATGTGAAGCAACAACACATGTATATAATATACTGCAGTCACTGAAATGGAGATGCTTACATTGCCTCTCACTTACTCGACATAGTTTTCAAAGGGACAGAATGGAAGATGGCACAGACCCAGGGACACATAAACCAAATATAATCAAATATAATCCACTGAAGAAATCTAGCAGTCAAGTCTGCTTATGCCAGCACACGACTTACCTCTGTACTGTCCTTGCATTCTTCCCACCATGCATGGAGTTCCAGTGAATGCAAAATATCAGAAAAAGTGTCTTTATGTAGCTTGCAGACCAGAAATTCTCCTTCAGCTTGCCTTAAACAACAACAACAGAAAAAAACCAAAACAAAAATAAAAGAAAGTGTTCAGATATTTCCCAGTATTTCTTTTTAGGTGCATTAGGTGATCTTAGTTGAACTCTCAGTTGATAGACATTAATATAAAACACAAACTGGGACCCTTGCTGGCAAATCTCAGCAAAAAAGTCAAGAGAGAGTTACTTTAGGTCAAAGTTGAACAATAAAAGCAGGCGTGTGAGGAAACTTTATGTTGCCAATATTGATATATCTGTCACCTCCACTATAGATAAAAAGCAAATAAGCTAGGAGTAGTTAAACAAGTATATCTCAGAAGCACTAGCATTCATACAAAACATATTTTAGAAAATGAAGAAAAAAAGGCAACATTCAGTACTTATTTCCTTTCAGCCAGTGGCTTGAACTGAATTTACTATAGTAGCACATCACATTGTTTGCTGCAGAAAAATGCAAAGCTTAGGCCTTTAGCAGTAAGTCTCTTGTGCTTTACTGGTTCCAAAAATGTCAGTGATTGTCAAAGTGTTTTTGAAATAAAACCAAAACCATGTTAATAAAATGAACTTTCCAAGACAATGCTGGCCAAAAGTGATTCTTAGATTTCTTTTCAGCAATAAACTGCCTCTGTGGTTGCTGAGTTGATAGGGAGAAGGATTTAAAGGACCAAAGCCAAGTTCTGGTTAACTCAGGGTAAAAAAAAAAAAAAACAAAACAAAAAACTCTGAAACAGAGCACAAGCCCTCCAATGAATGGACAGACTTTTGCTGAAGGTGGGCAGAGCTTAGCAAAATCCAGTTGTGCTTTCAAAAATGGCTGTAATCATTAATAGGTTCCACTTGAACGTATTCCAAGACTGCAGTAGTCATTGTGGGTACATCTTGTGATATGCTGCTGCAGATTACGGGACCAGCCTCAGTACTTCAGTGTGTAATTCACAGGCTGAATGTCAGTTCACAGGAGCTACCCTGCCTATTTATTAAGTAGTGATTCCCTAAGTGAATTAACAAGGCAACAACTGGCAGGATTCTGTCCCATCCTATCCCAGCCTTGCAGATGAATAGCTCCAAAAATATGCTCCAGTGAAGGATGAAGGTGAACATTATGAACTCAGTTCCTACAGTGCACACAAGTTACACACAAGTCCAGGCAGTGAGACCTCCAAACTGCTTTGCTGTATGTGCATATAGGTGCAGACACAGCAGCAGTTTGTGTCTTTCACAGAAGAAAGTGGTGCAGCAGTTGGATATTCTGTGTCTGTTACAGGAATTCCTGCTCTCCTTCTGTTCAACCAGCCTACCTCAGTTTAGGAGGTCTATGCAGTGCAGTCCAAAATGCCATTGGAAGGGTAGTTTTTTAGTTTTCATGCTTAGGAACTCCTACAGACTGTTATTATCTTTTGGAGATCTGAGCATAATTTACTACATCTGGAAACATGGAAAACATTTTAGGACTGTTCCCTAGGCTTGCATTACTAGTCTCACCTAAAAACATTGTTCATACAGAAAACTGTATGTTTAACGTTAAATCCTCATACTTGATTAAAGATTAATTTGCAGAAGTAATTTCTTTTTATTTATGCACTGGTATAAAATTATCAGATGGCTTTTAAATTGTAGTTAAAGGAAATTCATTTATCTCAGCTGTCTTTTGTAATATCATCTTCATTCCATTTCTATTTTAGATTGCTCTTAAGCAACTAGCTGCAAATACTTCATATCTAAAATCCAAGCTAATGTTTAGATTGTGCATGTGATTCTTATGGTATATTTCTGTTCCATAGTCAGGAGAAGATAGCTTTTAGATGCAAATTTCAAGCACAAAAACTGCTTTCACTGAGTTCAGAATTCATTTGCATTGAATATTTTATATTATTCTTTTGAAATAACCTGTATTTTCAACATCACATCTGTCACTCCTGTGCTGAAAACTCTCAAGAACTCAATACAAAAAGACTGAAAAACAAGCAGAAGAAACTGAATTTGTGATTTCTCAGGAGCATTTTCTCTTCTACATGTGCTTATCTCATGAAAACAAATATTTAAAAAATATTTGTGAGCAGAAACCTATTATGTTTTCAATGTTCCATTCATTGAGCACATTTTGAGAGGTGGAATTTTAGCTTAATGAACATTCACAACATACACACAGCCTTATCCTTCAAAATAATGACTGCATCTGTGAGACAGAAGGCTGCTCCTGCAAGTCCTACCAAAGCTAAAGCTAACTGAAGAAATAACATGGCACTTTCCAGGGGCACTCAGCATCACAGACCTCAGCTCAGGGTGCAGAAATCCTTCCTTCCTGGTTTCTCCCTCTCTGCCACCAGAGATGAGGAGGAGAAATATTTTTGCTCATTCAACTCGTTTGAAGTCTCTTTGAGACTACAGGAAAACACGAAATATTGTACCTAATGCCCCAAAGCTATCAAGATAAGAGGGGTTTGTGTCAGCATGTTGTTCACAAAAATCAAATTCATTACCCAGCGTGCAACAATCCAATAATTATACACTCAAGAGAGACATTGATTATTTATTTCAGAGTTGTGGAAGCCTGGGTGCTCAGTGGAATTCCACAAATCAGGCACATCAACTATTAAAACCTTTTACTATTTGTATATTTTAGCAAACAAAGGAATTAGTGTTCATTGGCTACAAGTTAAATAGTTCTCTTATTAATCAGTATTCTATCTTCTATTGGTTAATGATTCTCTCATTTCTCATGCTAACTAGTCTGCATGCCCAGTTTTTATCTTGAGTCGGTGGGTTTCTTAGGTTGGTGATCTGTGAGTCAGTGGTCACAATCTGCCGCTGCCAGAACTACCCTGTACACAGTTGGAGCTGATTTCAGCACAAGCTGACTTGGCTTTATTAATGTCTTCCTTATCTTGGGAGTTCCACTGATGTCCTTGTAGCCCATAAATTCTGCATTGATTGTGTCCACTATCAGTGGGCATCCTACTCCCCAAGCTTTGTTAACCTCCCCATAGGTCTGAGATCAAGCCTTAAACCTTAAGGCAATTCTACCAAGTGATCTGTTTTTCTACACCTGGCTATCACTTAGAGCTTCCTTGTTAGCTGCTCTCTATTTCACAGGTTAAATCCCCCTTCCTGTTGATTAGGCTTGAAAGTATACAAAGATCCAACATTAAAGAACTTCCTTTCTTAAGAAAATTTTACATATTACGCATTTTGCAACAAGCGATTCTATTTAGTGACAATTCAGTTCTAATGGTGTGGTAGTCTACTTTAAAATAAAAGAAAGCAAAACAAAACCACAGGGCACCCTGGGGGCTCCATCCTGCTCGACAGGCCAAGGACTCCTCAGTCCTGAGGAAAGCTGCCATTGCCCAGCAGGGTGGTGACAGCTCGCCCTCACCAGGCTGTGGGCAAGAGCAAAGGCAGGGCCAGCCCAAGCCACGGGGCAGCCGTGGTTCAGGGCCCCCCATCTGTCAGCCCAGGCCCCCCCATACTGGTGCCGGCTCGTGTTGTGGTTCCGTCACGCTCTAACATTAGCACCATTTCTGCACACAGACACCCAGAAAGTTGATTTAAAGCCTGTGCCTCCCATTCCCAAAGGAGAGGCAAGGGCTGAAGAGAGCAGAAACTCCCCACAGTCCAGTCAGCTGAGGAGCATTTATGGAAACACAATGCATTTGAGGTTTCTTGGGTTTCGGAGATACAGCCCCAGGGGCTTTGCTTCTGCGTGCCAGCCCTCGGTGCCCCTTTGAGGAGGATCTGGGGAACATTAGCTTGCACAGATGCGGACAGTGCTGGAAGGCCAAAAATGAAGGGGGCAGCGGGGGGGCTCCACTCTCAGCTGGAAAGAAAATGTCGCATCATGTGAGGGGAGGCTGCTGAGAAAGAGAAGGAAGGCTGCTCCAGAATGCACCGCAGGAGGTTCAGGACCTTTCACATCTCCCCATCTGGAGACAAAATTAAGGCCACTGTAAGTTTAAAAAAAAATAAAGTCCCATTTTGAAGTTAAGGTTCTTTGGTCTTAAAATCCAAAAATCCCACCTGCAAAAAATACTACTGTATATGGGTATCTAGTATAAGAAGAGTAACCAGTTCTGCATAATTGAAACTCTAAATCCCCAAAACTCCCCCAAAAATACCAAACACTTGGGTGGGATGTGAAGAAAGAAATATCCTGTGAGGAAAGGAAATGATAAAACTACTGTACTCAACAGGCAGGGAGTTCAGAAGTCAAACAGCTGAATGGAACAGCTTTATCATTTCTTTACAATGTATTGTCCCTGCCCTCCTTTGTTTAGCACAAAGGTTTTTCAGGATGAGTCCTTTTGATCTATTTGTTACATCCCCTAGCATGGTGAAGCCCTGACTCATGATCAAGGGTTTGAGTCAAACAAAGAGCAGCAGCTCCTGAATCTGAAGGCTTGTAAATTGTATGTACAGCAAAGCTGGTTCCTGGACTCCTGTTCCAGTCACTTTAACACACTCTTGTTTACACAGATGATTGGTATGTCTGGAAAGACACTATATTACAAATGTTTCACCTCCCTCTCCTGGCTGCAGAAGCATCCAAGAACACCACATACAATAGATTAATGAATTTATTCTTACACACACCCCGGCCACATCACTCTCATTTCAGAGGAAATTGAGGCACAGAGAAACTTGCTAGTGTAGTATTTCAAGAGATCGCTCCTGGCCAGATTCTCAAGTGTCTCCCCATCACAATGGGAGCTAGTTGGAGAGCCTGATTCCCATCTGGGCACCTCAATGAGAACCAGATTTTCACGAGCGTTCAGCACCCAGTAGCTCTAGCAATGACACTTGCAGCCAAATTTTCTGAGAAGTTCCTTTGATCATCTGGCCACTGCCTCAGTGGAAGCAGAGAGCTCTTGAAAAATCTGATCCTGTTTGTGGGTGCTGAGCACTTTTCAAAATTCTTGCTTAAGTGACCTGGCCAAGGATGCAGACTAAAATCTGAGCAGAACACACTTTGCCTAATCCCTAGGCCACTGATTTAACCACAGCT